TGATCTTCCATATATTCATTTGCATCAAAAGAACAGTTGAATCAACTCTCAAACTTACCTTACTAGAGGCCCTCCCCTTGAATTTCTCGATGTAGAATAAATACAGACTGTAAAGAAAATAATATAATAAGGTAATTGATATAAAAGACTAAGTAAATACGCAATTAGTGATCTGGTTTTTGGTGTTGCAAATTTTGATTAACCTTCGATGCGCACCAAAAGGCCTAAGTTGGCGTAGACTCGATAAAATAATGTGGATAACGTATCCACTAGATATTTAGAACAATTCTGAATATTTCACACACTGAGATGCTTTTTAACAGCGTCTTTCGTTATTTAAACGGTCTTGCTGTGATCCAAGACAAACTTGGAAAAGTATAGAACATGTTATAACTGTTAAGACCTCAGCATCTTTCAATAATTGAACAATGGTGAACAAGAAAATGTGTCGCATCGCGAAACTTGTTCAAAATGTGCACCAACACAACGTCTATTTTCACCTCGCCGCACACAAAGAACTAACACTGTCTATGGTAATGAAATGTTTYAATTGACATTACATTTATTTTCAAGCTTTCTCAAGGAGTGATTATTATAGCATTGTAAAAACAAATAAAGCACACAGCATTAAACAATTAAAGGTCTTTCCAAACTTTTACGAAAACAGTTACCGGAACAAATATTGGGAAGGTAAGTGAAAAAAAAAAGTTGAAACGTCTTTAACTTACCCAGTCGCAAACAAGATGTTCTCTCTGGTGAATCTTTTTGTTAAAAGATCTGATAATTTTTCTTTCTGTAAAGAGAAAGACAGGTTTGACATTTTGAGCACAAATATATCCTAAAAGAGTGATACACCGCTATAAGAGATAGACTGATATAGATAGAAGCAAATATTGATGAGCAAGTTTTTGTGTTAAGTTTAATTTTCCATTAAATACAAATTGCTTTTGTCAGGATGTCTTATCATCCATTTGTGAACAGCACCAGACAGGTAAAGAACCTAAATAACGCAATTAACTTGGAAATAATTAAAAACAAAAAAACACTTCCTTTTCTCGGAGGAAAACGTTCCTTTCTTCTGATCCGAGATAAATTTATAATGTTGAGAACACGTCATATAGTTGAATGCAAGGGCCTAAATATTTTAAGACAATTTAAGTACAATGACAGGTGAGATAAAACGAGTTGCCTGGCGTTCAAATTT